CTTGCCAGCCCGCTCAGAGATGTGTATAAGAGACAGCATATATACCGAGTATGTATATACATAAGATTTTTTTGTCCATCGCACGTTGTTGTTGAACTACATGTACACAATAAAATGTAAAATACAATGTAAAATCAGGAATTGTAAGCACTTATTAATATAACATTTTATTGTATAACTTGTTCATTTCTTGAAAATTCTCCGCATAGTTTTGTGACGAATATCTATTTTAGTCATATTTTAGATATCGTATAACCAAAAATTACGTTATAACCTATACTTCTGTTTTAATCGATTAATTTAAATGAAAAAAGTATCTACGTGCAGCTTAATTGATTAATAAACGACTTGTCAACGAGATAAGCAAAGAATTTATATATTGATTAGCTCTTAAAATATTTTAGCACGCATATACGTTTATTGACAATAATAAATAATATTTGATTTTTATTACTTTTCTTAAAACCTTAACTGTTAAATCATTCACAGTAAATATATATAATTACTGAATGCTTTTACTATACAGACACAAGACTCATTGTGCCATGGCAGCCAAGGAAGAGGTAAATAGTACAACTATTGATGCAAAGACTGAAGAGACGCCGGAAAACTCGACGACGGAGGACGCGCCGACCAGCCTAGAGACCATCCCCGAGGGAAACGCAGTGCGAAATGAACTTCAGACAGCGCCGAAGGATAAGTCAAAGAGTACGATCTCACCTTCGTTTACATACAATTTTATAAGAGCATGTGACAAAGTATAAACGAATTTTTACATTGAAATTTCGCAGTTGATATACTGCTGAAAGCCACCGCCAACGCTCCGATCATGAAGCAGAAGAAGTGGTCGGTCAGTCAAGACAATCCCATCGGGCGGATCTCCGAATTCATAAAGAAGTACCTGAAGCTGGATCCAAACGAGAGATTGGTGCGTCGAAATACTTCTTTTCGATCTCTTCTGTCAACACAGGAAGGCGACTATAGTAATGAATTTTTGCGTTTCAGTTTCTCTATGTCAATCAGACGTTTGCACCCGCTCCCGATCAGACGGTCAAGAACTTGTACGACTGCTACGGCGCCGAAGGAAAGCTGGTCATACATTACTGTAAAAGTCAAGCATGGGGCTGAGGTTCGTTGAAGTTAGCTTGCCGACGTTAATTTTTTCCGACAAAAAATAATATATAAATATTACAGATTGACAGGAAACACATTGTGATAATTCTAGTTTT